AGAGCGGTGGAAAAGGAGGACTGGAGGGATGAAATGGAGGGAGAGGCGTTTATTAATTTATAATATATTTACAGTTATTTTCTAATAAAATGGGTGGAGATAACAGCCCGAATTGGTCCATTAAGACGTGCCAATTGGCGGTTTGGAATGGAGACAAGCTGTGCTAATTACAATTGGGTAACGGCCGGTGCGATTAAATTTCCGGCAAAGGTGGTCCTCACATTAAGAGGACACCTTTGCCTATACCAACACAATATTTAGACTTCTTGCTTTTTTTAGTGAATTTTTGTTTATTTATAGTCTTCTTTTTAAAAAACTTTAAAAATGAATGTCACGTAATTTTTATGGATCTACATGTCTAAAATAAAAGAAACTGATATTTACACTCATAACATTTGGGGTAGGCGTAAGAGTAAGTTGAGTCTAGCTCAAGCCACCCTCGACCTGAGCTTGAACTTGAGCTTGAGCTTAATTAATTGATTGGGTTTGAGCTCCACCTAGAACTTAAGTTTACGAGTTTGAGACAACTCATGAGCTGGCTTGTTTATTCTTATAGAGAGAAAACAATATCAACTTAAGCTATATCATGAACAAAATTTCTCCATTGGCACAAAATTATGAATGATTAGTATGAATTTCAGCATATTTTTTTTAGCAAGAAACATTTAAACTGAGATTAAAAATCATCAAGAACTGTGATTTCAACAAACTTACAATCAAACTAACTGGCATTACGAGACAGACACAATGACAAAATAAAGGCCCAATTGAGTCGATCAAGCCCGAATCAAGACTTTAAACCATTTTTAGAAACTTTAGGTGGCTAATTAAAAAATGAAATGAATGTCAAACAATATTATAATCAAATTGAGTATTTTGATGAGATGAATCCAATGAGTCCAATATCATTCAATTTTAACATTATTGAGACACTTTTAAACTCACAAAATACCGTCCAATCGAGGGATTTCTCTGAGCCGTCTGCTTGAGTGATCCAGATTTTTTATTATTTATTGAGAAGGCCCCATCCATACTATATAATTAGAGCTCTACTTGCTTAATGGAGAGTGGGGAGGATGGAGAGCAAGACCTAGGAGGAGGACCTGAAGTTGGACTTGAATCTAAAGAAGAAGAAAAGTAAATTTTCAGAGCTTTTTTGGATTGAAGACATCACAAACACTTTATATTCTCACATTTACAAATCATCATTGACCTTTGCTCGTCGCCCTCCATCGACCATCACTCATTAGCCACCATTGTCCACCCTCTACTGGTGACATCGATGAACCTTGTGGAGTAATAAACAATGATGTAATAATGCACTTCAAATGCAATACAATGAAGAGCCCGGACGACAATAAAATGACATACATGAATATAGTATAATGATGCACTCCAAATCCAGTGTAGCAACATACCCCTTATATGGAGTAACAAATAACATCATATTGAAGATCTGATGATAACTCTCAACTGCAACGACTTACGACCACCATACTTGTGTGATGTCAACTTCCTCTGAACTCTTGAAGTTCTTTCTTCATAGCTCTCCACTATGACATACATGGTTCATAACTCATTCAGGTCTCAACTTCGACCTCTGTGGCGTAAAGGCGTTAGTGCTTCTCATTATTATGGTTTGCATAACCAACCACGACATACAAGATCCACAACATATGCAGCTCTCAAGTCCAGCCTCTATGGCTTACAGACGTTATTGCATCTCACCATTATACATACATGGCCAAATACCACCTACATGATCCACAACTCATGTGGTTCCCAGCTTCGATCTCTACGGTCTACTAACATTATTGCATCTCACCAACTACAAACTATGTAGTCCACATCTAATGCAACTCCTAACTTCATATTTTATAATCTACAAACATTATCACAACTCATACTATAGTCAAATACGATCTATGTGCTCTACAACTCATGCAACTCCCAACTCTGACCTCTGTGATGTACAAACATTATTAAATCTCACCACTACGAAATATGTGACCAAGTACAACATACGTTGTCAACTGCTTATGCAGATCTCAACTCCGACGTTTGGGGTTTGTGGATATTATCACAACTCATTACTATAGCCAATGTGATCAACTATGACATACATCGTCCTTAAATCATAAGACCATAAACTCTGTCCTTTATGGGCTATGAAAGTTATTACAAGTCATCACTATAATATATGTGACCAATTATAGCTTACGAATGTTGCTTAAACTATTCTAACTACAAAAAATAGTCAAATTCAAGTACAATAGACAAAGAAATTGGTTACACTAGAAGAGAGAATATTACTCTGCTACCTCTTGTGATACATTGAGAAGAGAGCAAGCCTTTACGTCAAATAGGTGACTCAATATCTTATAACAGAGTGCTTAATTTGATTTCTTGTTTTAAGGTAAGAAAATATTCCTTAATTATGAATACTTTGGTTCATTGATAGACCTTATAGGAAGTCCATGAATATTCTATTATATGGCCCAATCAAAAGTAATAGTGAACTATATAGTCCTTGCATCTCTTATTTAATGGCTTTGTAGTGTAGTAGAGTATGTTAGCCGTCAAAAACATAGTTATATCAAGAGCATTCTCAACATGTACATATTTCTCATTATAAATTACTAAGCATTCATACCATCCCAAAAGTGTCCAACCACCAACAAACTGTTTGAAAGTTGTTTCAAGTCATTTGAGATAGTGAGTTGTATGCTCAAATTTTGGCACTTAAGCTCTCATAACCCGAGTCAATTTTAAAAACCTAAAAAATTTGCAAAAGATATTTTAACTTGCGATAAAACTGAACTTCACTCATGCATTATGAGAAAAATATTCATTTAATTATTAAATATTTTGTATACTCAGAATTAGCCTAATTTTTATTATGAATGGATCTTGAATGTTTTATGAAATCAATGTGTTATAGATACTTGTTATATAAGTTTGTGAAGGGCAAAAGTAGTCCCGACTATCTAAATGAAGTTGCTTTAATTCCAGAGTTTATAGAGATGTTAAAATAGTCTTTAGATTCTTCAAATTGGAGCTGAAATAGTTCACACGAAAGACTATTTGAGCTCAATTTTAAAATAATTGAGAACTAATTTAATACTTTTATAAATTCTAGGACTAAAACAGCCTAATATAAATAGCCGGAGATTATTTTGACACTTTGACTTTTTGTATATTTGTGACTTCCATTTGTTAATAAATATTTATCAAAAAATTAAATCCAAAATTCAAAGAACCACCGGGCGGAGGCTGTAAGCGGTTGGTCCCTTGGCCCAAATAGGCCTGTTAAGCATTAC